AGTATTTCCTCTTTCCGCCCTCATTTCCTCCCCATATCCACTCCCCTTTTCCTTTCTCATTCTCTCCCTCTCAGCCATTTTATCTGCCTCCCATCTTTAACTATATTATTTATTTGCTTCATTTATACCCTACCTTTGTCCACAGTAGGTATAAAAAAAACCTTACAGTATTCTTTATCCTCCTCTTTATCTGCACAACAACCCTGCGTGGTAGGTTAGGCTGAAAGTATGTGACTGGTCCAAAATCACCCAGCGAGCTTCGACAGCAAGCTGGAGTTTCAAACCTGGGTCTCCCAGATAGTACTGTGAAGATCTAACTGGTACGCCACACTTGCTTTCATAGGGTGGCTGCTGTTGAACAGTAGGAAACAGCTATGCATAGTTCAATCACACAAGTCAGGTGGTAGCAAATCACCCAGAGGTTGCTTCCAGTCCTAGGATTGCCAGTCTCCAGGTGGGACCTAGCAATCTCCCAGAATTACAACTGAAATCCAGACAACAGAGATCTTTCCCCCTGGAGAAAATGACTGCTTTGGAGGATGAACTCTGTGGCATTATATTCAGCTGAGGTCTCTGTGCTCCCTAACCCTGCCCTCCTCAGACTCCACCACAAAATTCCCAGGAATTTCCCAACCTGGAGGTAGCAATCCTAGGCAGGCCTGATCCCAAGGTGCCCTCCGTCAAAGGCCAAAAAGGCATCTTCCCTCTACCTTTTACTGACAGAACCACCCCTTGGAACCTGTAGTTGCCTAGCAACAGTCACTGGAATCTGTTGCTTAAAGCTACAGGTGCCATTTTTATAATTTCCGGCTTTTTAAAAGGCCCTGATGCACTTTTTTCCACATTTCACATTTTCCTGCAAACCTGGGCCCTTTTCAAGTTTATAGAAAGATCTGTCTTGTCTGTTCACAGCTCCAGTCACCGGATTTAAGTATTCAAAGATATCCTGAGTCCTGACGTCACTATTAGAATATATGATAGTGATCTAGCAATTCACATTTTAAAAATGCCTGCAGTGAAGTGGGAAGAAACTGTAACCATAGGGGCTAATACAAGAAAAGTACATTGAAAACTTCTGCACGGATACTTTGTCTTTTTATTTATTTAATTCACTTGTACCCTGCCTTTCTCCACAGTGGGGACCCCAAGTGGCTTACAGCATTTTCTTCTCCTCCATTTTATCCTCACAACAACTCTGTGAGGTTGACTAGGCTGAGAAAGGGTGACTGTCCCAAATGTCACCCAGGGAGCTACAATGACACATGGGGATTTAAACCTGGGTCTTCCAGATACTAGTCTGACCCTCTTAACTACTACACCTGTTTTGTTGTTGTTCAGTCGCTACACCTGACTGTCTGGTTATTGTGAATGACTCTGCCTTCACAGCAGCAACCAGAATTACATAAAGAACAATTTTCATTTAGAAGTAGCAGCCCACAAATTGTTGATTTTCCACAGGACCATGGGAAAGTATTAAAACAAAGGGGTCTGGCTGTTTCTACGGTGATCTCTGGGCATTGTCACCAACTGTGGACTGGTGAGTCCCAGGGAGAAGAGGCTCTGGCATTTCTAGGGATGTTGCTTGCATTTCTGCACAGTACTGCTGGACCAGAACAAAGATAAATCTGGTCCTACACTCTGTCCCCGTCAATGGCTAGCTAAATGTTTCCAGAGAGCCCACTAGCTTAGCATGGGCACAGCATAAGCACTTTCCTGCTGTTTACCTCTTTAGCAACTAGTACTGAAGCAGATGGACTCTGAATACAGAAAACTCCATTTAGCTACCATGGCTACCCTCCATCAATAGACCTGTCCTCTGTGATTTTTTAAAATCACCTTATATGAACAGCACTGACTTGCATTTGCAGTTGCCATCAACAAAAAGAGCCACATTCACTTCCATCGTTGGCATGAGGCCTGCACTTCAAGGAGGCTCAGTTTACCCATTCCTACAGTGGAAGCCATGAGCCTTCCCCACTGAACAGAAACATGGGGCAAGTGCCACATTGGGGAAATGTGCTTGGAACAGCCACAGATGGCACGTCAAAGATCTTGAGCCACTGAATATCACTGCCTTAAAGATATCTGTACATTCAGAAAACAAGAGTCCGGCGCAATTGAATTAAACCATGAAAGAACTGGGTGGAGCGTTGCCGCTCGGACATCACATGTGAGAGATGGAATTTGCCCCTACGAGTCCAAGGCCACCACCCCGGGGCTCAGGGAGGCAAGGGAACGTTTGGCCCCACCCCTCCCCCCACGCAGGCGTCGCAGCTACCGCCGAGAGCAGCAGCAGCGGCCATAACTTTTTAAAGAGCCCCCCCGAGACCTGGGGGAGCCAGAATGACCTCTCGCTGTGTGTGATGTCCCAGCGGCAATATATCCACACACGAGAGGTGGAATTTGCCCCAACGAGTCCAAGGCCACCACCCCAGAGCTCAGGGAGGCAAGGGAACGTTTTGCCCCGCCCCCCCGCGCAGGCATTGCAGCTGCTGCAGAGATCAGCGGTGGCAGCCATACCTGAGAGCTGGGGGAGCCAGAATGACCTCTCGGGTGTGATGTCCGAGTGGCATCACACGGGAGAGGTGGAATTTGCCCCTATGAGTCCAAGGCCACCACCCTGGGGCTCAAGGAGGTAGGAGAACATTTCGCCCCCGTCGCATCTGCCGCCGAAAACGGTGGCGGCGGCCAAAAGTTTTTAAAGAGCTCCTAAGGAGAGCTGGGGGAGCCAGAATGACCTCTCGCGGGAGAGGTGAAATTTGCCCCTATGAGTCCAAGGCCACCACCCCGGGCTCAGGGAGGCGGGGAACTTTGCCCCATCCCAACTGATGGCTGGTGAGAGCAGGGGGCGGGGCTTATGTGCCCACCGCCTGGGCTCCTGACTGGCGGAGCAGTGCTCTTATGCGCTCTGGCAGGAACTGAGGCCTGCATAAGAGTACATAACACAGGACATATACAACACGTTGCAGAAAACCGGTTGCCTATGCAATTTTATTGGAAGTCCCACAGGGGCTACTTATTTTTAACCAAGTAAATATGGGCAGGGCAGTCATCCTTAACAAGCAGAAGAGTGGGATTCTGCAAACAACGGGGAAGAGCTCAGTGCAACAACTTCAGTTTAAATATTCTAGAGTCCAAGACTTTCATCCTGAGCATTACTCAAACTCTAGCCCCTCCTGTAAATTTGGGATCTCTTGGGACAGGGAGCGGCTGCGCTGTTACGTCAGATGCCGACGGCTCCACCCTGGAGCGTGGCTGGCTATAGCGGAAAGTAGTCAGGGGCGTGGCCAGAGGCAAAGGGTAGGGAAATCCGAGCTCAGGGTGTGGCGAGCAAGCACAGCCTCGGGAGTTTCCCTCGGTGGTCTTTCTCTCCGCTCGTAGTAAGAACCGGCGAGCTGCTTTTCTGTGCTTGGGCGTCACTCTCCGCTTCGTTAGCTCGGTGAGTGCCTGGGGGGAAAAAGGGCGAAGGGGCATCAGACGGCGGACGGGGCTGGTCAAAGTCGGGGACTGGGGGCGGGAAAGGCTCGGATCGTATGGCGGAGCAAAGGCCAGTATAGGATGCTAAACGCCTACTAGGTATTTAATGCACTGTTGCCCTGGTGGCTCTGGTCTGTCGCTCTGGCACTGCTGGGGGTAAGTGGAGGTGAAGCGAGCCAGCCACTGCGGCAGGTTGCTGGATTTGGGGTGTTGGCCCAGGACTTTCGCCCCAAATCGGAGTTTCCCAAAAGGGGGGGGGGGAGATTATTGTTATTGTCAAGCTTATCGGCTTTGAAACGTGACTTATCCTGACGCCGAAACTGTGCCGATAATTTTATTTTAAATTTGCACCGAATTGAACTCTCCTTCAGTAGGTTTTTCTTGTTACGGTTTCTTGCAGCTTCTTGCCTAATCGACCTCCCTGCAGCCATGGCGAAGGTGAGTCAGACCTGGGGCGCGCGCGCTCTCGCTTTCTCTCTCTCTCTCTCTCAAGGGAGGGGCAGGGCAAAATAGTGGCCTTTTAATTCCGTTAGCGCCATTTTGCAGGAGATCAATGTATGACACTGTAATCCCGTCCTCCTTCTAAATAAATTACGTCTTCCGCCGCAGTTTTCCCTTTCCCGGCAACCCTGTGCTAGATAGTGTTTCGGTTAAGTTGCTCGAAAGGCAGTCGAGTCCGACTCTAGGGTTGCGGTGCTCATCTCCGTTTCATAGCCGAAGAGCCAGCGCTGTCTGAAGACGTTTCCGTGGTCATGTGGCCGGCATGACTAAACACCAAGGCGCACGGAACACTCCGTCATGCGGCAACTCTGGTCTTGAACTGCTGAATTACTGACCTTCCACAGCCTGCAGTTCAGTGTCTTAACCACTTGAGCCACCGCAGCTCCTGCGTTTAAGTTAGGTTTGCTTTAAAACAGCATGTGGTGGGTGGGTGGGTTATGGTATATACCTTGTTCATATCATGACCCAGTGCTGTAACTTTGGCCATTTTCCATTCATTTCCCTGCCCCAGATGTTCTGAAGAGGGGAGACTGGCTACTGGTGTCACTGTATTAGATAGCAGAAACACAACTTGAGAGTTAATGTGGGTGGATTTTTACTTGCACTCTTTTTTCCTGGCTCAGAAACTTCATCCAAATGCTTTAAAAGTTCTTAAATCAACCTCTCTGTGAACTCATTGTAGTCATGTGAAGGCCACGTCAACTCTCCCCCCCCTTCATTTTCCACCCGTTAAGCCAAGTTTCCTGCACAGCAAATTTATACTGTGAGTGGGTGAATGTAGCGGCTGCTAGAGAAGAGCTAAAATGGGGGAAAATTAACTTAGTTCTGTTCTCTCCCCCCCCAGTATTTATTCTTCGTGGGTGTGGCTTCTTTAGCCTCACATCGTTTTTCTTTTTTTGTGGATAATATTTTTGAGTTAGTTCTTTATGAAATTGAAAATGTATTTGTTCTGAACATTTGAGTATTACAGTAACTTTATGTACCTTTCTTTTTGGTATTTGTCAGAATAACAAATGATAAACAGAATACAGGATATGATTGGGAGGAGTGTGTAGATTGTGATTAGAATAGATGGGTCTGTACACCCAAAATAAGTTTTTCCTTTTATAAGCTAGTTCTTAATTAAATTACTATATTACATATTGAATTACTATATTACATAGTTTCTAAAGTTCCAGTTCATGGAAAAGTTGATGCACCCTGTCCCTTTCCAGATGATAATACTTTGGCTATAGTTACTCTTATAGTTTATAATTGCACAGAGGGAGTACTTTTGCTACACTTTGGGTGTGAGGGGAGAAGCATAGCTTCTCTTGTTTTATCCCCATGGTATGGTTTGAATGCTGGGAGATTATGCCATCTCCCCCAAACCTCCACATCTGTTGAGGGAAAACATCTAGAGGCTACTCAAGAAATGAATAACAACTATGCATTGGTGGAATAAAATAAACATGGATTAATCTGAGAAAGTGTCAGATCTTATTTCCCATTCCTATACAGAGCTTTGGTGTAGCAATACAGAAATTGTCTTGCCTGATATGGATACAGCAGTATTATGTACTTGGCAAGTTCATTTAAACATTTACAGCTGATTGTGTGAACTTCCTCTACTGGAAGTTATTGAATTGGGTCCAGGGATGCAAAAGCAGAACTCTGCTCATTGAATGGATCTTTCCTGCCTTCCCCTATATTCTGCAGCCACCTGAGAAGCTGCCTTCTCCCAGGGAGTAAAAAATACATGAAGAGTTCTAAAGAAAAGTTGTGGCAGCGGTGGCCAAGGGATGCCTTTCATGATCTTTGGCTGGTGAGCCAGCTGCAGAACCTCAGCAGGAAAGATCTTGCCACTATGGTGCATGCCCTGGTAACATCTAGGTTAGTTTGCTGCATTATAGTGTACATCATGTTTGAGGTTAACGAGGGTAGTAACAGTTGAGCAAAATTTCAATTTTTCTGAAGGATGCAAAGGTCAATGAAAATCTGTAGAGGATAGGTTCAATAGAGCTGAAAAATGGAGCTAGGGACAGGCAAGGGTGGTGGTGTTCTCTGTAAACCTGATGGAAGACCCTGGGTTGCAGAAAAATTTGAAATCCCAGACAAAAACCCCAAACACCCAGGGTTAAAATTCTCCAAAATAACAAACAATGCCTGTAGCTTTAAGAAAATCATGCTCACTGAATTGTCAGTGGTTTTGGGGGTTGCTAAGCAACCACACCACTACTGCTAAACCATGGTTTCTGTAAAGCAAAGTTCAACTTAGAGGCTAAAACAGCCCTGGAGAAGGTCCTGCCCCAACCACACTGTCTGTTGGTGGAGGAGGACGTACTGGGGGCAGGGCTAGTTGGTGACTACCAGGAACTCGCTGCACGCACAGTTCAGCCCAGTCTGGTGGGAGTAGCCACTGTGCCTTGTGGGCTCATTCCAACAGTGGCTGGGAAATGCCCTAGCTGCCATGCAACTCAGCTAGTGGATGGGAAGAAGAGGTGGAAGTAGAGAGAAGGAAAAAGGCAGGGGCGTCTGCCAAAGAAGGGAAAGTGGATATAGTGGGGGAGGGGAAAATGAGATCACCCCCATAAGTACTTGCAGGTCTCCCACTAGTCATGCATTCCATGTTGCTAAAGTAAGATTGGATTTGATACCTAGTATTTTACCACAGTAAAAAGGTGGAAAAAACAGTTTTTGTCACGACTTCATAAGTTCTGAAAATCTTACTAGATTTTGTTCTTTGACATTCTGCTTTGAACAGACAACAGCCCCACAAACAAAATAGACATGAAACACCTCCCAATCTTTTTATACTGAAAAGAAATGATAGAGCAGTGGAATGCAGGACGACTTAACCGTCCCCTTTTATTTATTTACTCACTCAAAATTGCTTTTCCTTCAGGTATTGTATCCTTATTTTTCCCCTGGAGATGGGAAAACATCTGTCTGTCTTAATCTCCTTTGTTTTTCTGTTGACTGTTTCACTCTTCAAGGCTGCCTTCCTCTCGGTTTGTTCTCCATTCAAGTCACACTCCTTGCAAGGAGGTTTTTGAAGTATGAGCATTCACACATCTTTTTTACAGTATGTAGTTTGATCCTGTTTCAGGGATTCAGAGCAGCATTTCAGAAGATAAAATAAGAAGGGGAGATGATAGCAAGCAAGATGTGACAGCAAATTAAGTAGTACAGTTTTGAGTCTCCACTGGGGGAAAAGGTGGAGTATAAATGAAGTAAATAAGTAAAACATCAGTTTTATGGCAGATAACCCAGGATGACATGTTATAGAAGTTATTGACACTTGTATTCTCTTCACAATGCAATCCTATGCAGTTTTACTCAGAAGTAAGTCTCACTGTATTCAGTGGGGCTTGCTCACAAATAAGTATGAACAGGATTGCACAACTAGTTTTTTTCCACTGAAGAAATACCTGCCTGGTTTGAACAATAGCTGCAGTGTTCTGGCAGTCAACCTGAGGTTTAGGGCAGCCTCCAAATTACCGGCTTCCTCTGTAATTGGAGAAGGTATCTCGATCTGGCTTGCCTTTCCTAACAAGACCGTTTCTATAGCAGCGCTGGCAGATACTGAAGCACATGGCATGGTATGCAAGTGGCCTAGTTGTAGTTCTTTTTCCCTTTGGCGTAATTAGTGGCTTTACATTGTTCAGTTCTGACAGCCAACCTAGATTATGAAATCTGGGCCAGGCTGGCAGGGTTTTGCTAAGGAAGTAGCTTTATCATGACTACCTAGATCCTGCTGTTGTAAAAACCTCTGCTTGTTAAATGGATACTCAGTTCCACCATTTTTCTCTCACAGTTTGTTTAAGCAAAATTAAGCATGTATATGGTTGGAAGGTCAGTGCTTCAGTAATCCAGGAAGTTGAATCAGGAATTTTTAAAATGTGTAACAATTTGTTGCAAAACTCTTCACATAGGATTCAGTTACAACATGCTTTTCTCTTGTGTGATTAAAAAAAAAATCTGTTGGGTTCAGCTATGTTATGTCTTGTGCGAGGAGCTAGGATTTCATTTCACATAAGACCTGTGTAACTCTTGCCAACTAGGTAAGAAATGTTTTGCAAGCAACCACCAATTTTACTACTTAATATTAAGAACTGCGGCTTTAGTCATATATAAATAAATAAAATTTAGGATCAAATGAAAATGAGGCTAGAAAGGTAATTGGGCGCATAGTGTATATTTAAAAAGTGACACTGTGGTTTACTATATCTTAGTCTAGTAGTTGAAGTTAAGACAAATCATAAAAGTTAGTTTTAATCTTGTACATTACCATGGCAAGATCAGAAAGGATTTTTAAAACATTGTTTATGTATTTATATGCTACTTTTGTTCCCAGTGGGAGCCCAAGACAGCTTACATTGTTCTGTCCTCCTTCGTTTTATCCTCTCAACAACAATCCTGTGAGGTAGGTTAGGCTGAGAGAGACTGACTTTCCCCAGATCATCCAGTGAGCTTCCATGGCAGAGCAGAAATTGGAACCTGCGTCTTCTAGTTCCTAGTGCCATTTACTCCTAGAAAGATGGTTCTGCACCTTGTGGTAGAGGTCTGCAGAAGAAGGGAGATGCTGAATCTGATGATGTCCTTCCCCTTGCATAAGCATGAAATCCTCTGCTCCTGACTGTGAGTACTAGATTTTAGAAAAACACATCACATTGCAGTCCTAAAGAAAGTTACAGCCTTCGCAGTCCATTGAAGCCAGTCGGGTTAGAAAGATGTACCTGTGGTTAGGATGGCACTGTGAATCACTGTTGTGCCTCACTCCCAAGCATGTGGCTGCTTTAAAAAGAACCAGAGAGGTGAGAACCAGAGCTTTCGGAACAGCTTAGGCTGAGTGAGGAAGTTTTACCCACCTCTCCTGCCAGCCAGTGTAATGTAGTGGGCTAGAGTGTAGGAGTAGGAGCTGAAAGACCCAGGTTCAAGTCCCCACTCTGCCATGAAAGTTTGCTGGGTGATCTTGGGCCAGTCATACACTCACAGGGTTGTCATGAGAATAAAATGGAGGAGAGGAGAACAATGTTGTAACCCACTTTGAGTCACTGTTGGGAAGAGGAGGAGGAGATTGGATTTATACCCCGCCCTTCACTTGGAGTCTCAGAGCGGCTTACAAACTCCTTTCCCTTCCCTTCCCCACAACAGACACCCTGTGAGGTGGGTGGGGCTGAGAGAACTCTGACACAAACTGCTCTTTTTTTCAAGGACAGCTGTGCCAGAGCTTGTGACTGACCCAAGGTCACATCAGCAGGTGCAAGTGGAGGAGTGGGGAATCAAACCCGGTTCTCCCAGATTAGAGTCCACGCACTTAACCACTACACCAAACTGGCTCTAAACTGGGATATAAAAGAAGCAACATAAATAAAATTAAAAATATCTGGGAAGAGCAGTAGTAGTAACAGAGAAGGCTTGGGGAGAGATCTAGAATAGATATAGAATGAAGGCAAACATTTTAATCATCTGCTCCCCATTTCCAGTGCATCAGCCATGTGGGAATGCCGTGGCTCCAGCATGGACAAGGGGTTTCTTCTCTGCCAAAACCAGACTCTACCATTCTTTCAGTTCTGCCAGTTGCTTCAGTGATGATGAATTTGAAACTGGCTGAATAAGAGTCTAAATGAAATAAGTAAAAAGACTGCTATGAAATCCACTCACTGTAGAACTGCATGGGCTCTTGTGTGTTTGTGAAATGACCATAGCAGGTATTTTTATGTTGCTCACAGTTCCTTGGATCATATATATGGTGCATTAGAGTAAGTGCTAGATAATAAAGATA